GATTCTGGATATGTCATATGAATGGAATCGCGTGGTATATGCTCTTCTGTGTCTGGCTTTTCCCCTGAGCATAGCAGGCTGGTCCACGTGGCAGCATCAGTCATTCTTTTTTATAGCCAAACAATATTCCCACCTCTAGAGTTGTTGGCCTCTGGGGATAATCTGAAATATGCTGACCTCTTGCCTCTCAAGTCACTAATGTGTGGATGGGGGATGACGATGGCAGAAGCCCAGAGGGCAGAAAGGAAAACAGCAGACGGGCTCCTCCAGGAGCAACTACAACCAAAAGGAAACGAGGCCAGCGTGGAATGAGGAGAGGTATTCTGTACTACCCCGAAATGGTACCCGTTCTTAAAAAATACTATAGGTACCTGAAGAGCCCCAGGACTGTCACCTTTCAAAGCCCAGAGGGAGAAAATCAAAGCACGAGCCAGAGAGGAAACCCTGTGGTCTCTCCCAGTGCATCAGCAGCTTATCCTCTGGAAGATCCTCTCTTTGCCCCCATTGCTTCCTCCTATTCTGAGTGAGTTTCATGGATGCAGCCTCAGGACTGCTAAAATTCATCCAAACAAATGAAGTTTTGAGAAGACAAGGCTGGGATGAAAAGCCAGGGCCCTCAGCATGTAGGGCTGTACGTGGATCTCAAGATGCTCATCTTGGTCAGAAACCAGACATCACTGAGACTGACCTAGAGTCGTCCGACTTGAGCATCGTAGGGTCAGGGCAGGGGTGGGCACATACCTGCTGGCTGGGGAACTGGCACAGCACCGAGGTGATATTGCTGGCGTACTGGGCCATCACCCGCTGGACTGCCTTCTCCACGGGGGTAGGGATACGGCCCGACACGCTGGTCATGATCTCCTGCAGCTCCAGCAGCGGCAGTGAGGGGTGCCGCAGAGTCACCATGAGCTTCTGCACCCACTCCTTCAGCTGCAGAGGGGACCACAGCATTGGCACTCAGTCCTGGGGAGGGGGACACGTGGGTACTGCCACCTAGCATGGAGCACCCAACTTGACTCGTCCTACCCAGGCCCCACTTGAGTGGTGGGAGCTCTAGACCCTGGGGCAGTCCAGAGTGGAACAGCCCGCTGACCACTCAGGGAGTACCCAGCCTCCTCCTGCATGAAGGTCTCCACTCCCCACTCTGTGCGTGGAGTGCAGGTATAACATGAGGTTGTGAGATGAGCTTACATGTGCTGTGCTAGTGCCAGGCAGCACTGTACCACCTTCCCCAGCACATTCTCACTCATCCTTAGAGATAACCCTACAACTTAGCTCTAGTGATTGTTCCCATTGTACAGCTGAGGCAACTGATCACAGAGAGGTAAGTAAGTCACTCAAGGTCATTCAACTAGTAAGAAGCAAAACCAGGCTGCAAAGCTCGGCCATCAAACTCCTGACACATTTTATTTTTTCTTTTAAAGCAGTGGTTCTCAACCTTCCTAATGCCGCGACCCTTTAATACAGTTCCTCATGTTGTGGTGACCCCCAACCATAAAATTATTTTCATTGCTAGCAACCTCTAATCTCACGCAGCAAACCCACCGGACCCCTCACAGAGAACTACGGGCACCTGCTCTTTACGGGTAACTGACCTTTATGCTAAAAATAGGCTCTGGCAGACAGTAGCCACTCATGACATTGGTCAGGTTTTCTAGGACATTGTGGAAAACCTGGTGCAGTTTCTCTCCGAGGATGGGCAGTGTCTGCTGGGACGGCAGCTCTCCCATGAATGGCTCAGCCTGACAGACAGAAGGCAAGAGGTCAAGGAAACCATGGAGTCCCCAGGGAAGCAAGACAGCCCCGGGGCAAGGCAGACCTACCACAACGGAGCTAGGATGAGGCCTGAGAAAAAAACAGAAGTGTCAAGCTGGAAAGTTCAAACTGCCACATTAACACCCCAATGTGGGCTTCCCCAGGCAACCCCGTTACAAATTAGCCCATTACATTTTTTCACATGTCATACAATTTTGAAAGGGGTGAGATCTGTTGTTGCTGCTGCATTATATATAATTTATACATATATTTATATATACTATCTCTTCATTTGCATTCTTTACTGAGTTGAATCTCAAAGATAAACACCCAGTAGGATGAAAAGCTTATGACAATCTCATACAAATGTACCTGACTTTTGTAAATTATAAACATTTAGCCTTAGATAAACCAAATGGAAAAATAGAAAGCTCCCTAAAGGGTAGAAAACCGACAGCCTCAAGGCCACACGTAGCCCTCCAGATCCTCAAGTGTGGCCCTTTGTCTGAATCAAAACTTAACAGAACAAATCCCTTTCTTTGTGTGGTCAAAAGGCCACACTCAAAGACTCAGAAGGCTACATGTGATCTCAACACCACAGGTTCCCCACCCTTCAAGTAATTCATTCTACAAATATTCACTATGCATGAGGCACAAGTACCCATGGCTGGGATGTGCTGTTGTTCTCTTGGCCTAGGACACTATTTCCTGCTCACCCTGCAGGCTCCTCTTTTTTTGAGACTGAGTCTCACTCAGTCACCTTGGGTAGAGTGCTGTGATGTCTTAGCTCACTGCAACCTCAAACTCTTGCCTCAAGTGATCCTCTTGTCTCAGCCTCCCAAGTAGCTGGGACTATAGGCACCCACCACTATACCCGGCTATTGTTAGAGATGGGGTCTTGCTCTTGCTCAGGCTGGTCTTGAGCTCCTAAGCTCAAGCAATCCACCTGCCTCGGCCTCCCAGAGTGCTAGGATTACAGGCGTGAGCTATCTCACCTTTTAAGAGCTAACTTGAGAGTTTTCTCCTCTGGAATCTGATTCTGACCTCTCTATCTGGGCCTCCACAGTCAAGGGCCAAGGGGCTGTCCCCCCATTGCATTTATCAAGTTAAATTACTTTGTCTCCGTTTGTCACCAAGCACTTACATGACTCTGCAGGGACCAGGTGGCCAGGCCCTGTCTCATTCGCCTAGCACAGGAAACGTCTACTGAAAGGAAGGATGATGCAGGCACACGGACCTGCCCACCCCCTGCAAGGCTCAGTCTATTTCTAGCTTTGGAAAACCCCCAAGAGAATAACAAAAAGAATGGAACGCAAACAAATACATAAAACTGATAACAAACTCTGGAGAAAACAGACAATGCAATTTTTTTACTGTTTCTTTTTTTCTGCACAGATGTACTAATTATTTTAGAGAACAGGGCAACACATATATGAATGGCTTCTTAGGAAGGAGTAAATTCATCCATTCATCAACAAGACCTACTTTTTCTGAGCACTCACTATACCCCAAGCACTGTGCTACACACCAGGATCACTACAGTGAACAACAAAAGGTAGTCCTTGACCTTGAAGACTCACCATCTAATGGCAAAGCATGACAAATGCTGAAAAAAAATTTTTTTTTTTTTTTTTTGAGACAGAGCCTCAAGCTGTCCCCCTGGGTAGAGTGCCGTGGCATTACAGCTCACAGCAACCTCCTACTCCTGGGCTCAAGCGAGTCTCCTGCCTCCGCCTCCCAAGTAGCTGGGACCACAGGCGCCCGCCACAACACCCGGCTATTTTTTTGGTTGCAGCCGTCATTGTTGTTTGGCGGGTCCAGGCTGGGGATTCGAACCCGCCACCTTAGGTGTACGTGGCTGGCACCTTAGCCAGTTGAGCTATAGGCGCCGAGCCAAATGCTGAAAAATTAACAAGAATCTAAACTGCTGGCCCCCCTGGACCCTGAGCTCAGGGTCACATGACAGACACTCTGGTGTACCCCCCAGTGGATCTGAGAACAGGGCACTGCCCCCACAGAACCTGCACTTCTGTATGTACCTGAGACAAATATTTATGGAGGCCCGGAGCCCCCTATTACATGCCAGGGGCTGTTTTTGGCACTAGGGATCCAGCAAGTGAGCAAGAAAGACAAAACAGTACTGGCTGGGTGAGGCGGCTTGCACCTGTAATCCCAGCACTTTGGGGCCAAGGTAGGAAGATCACTAGAGCCCAGGGGTTCAAGGCTGCAGTGAGCTATGATGACACCACTGCACTCTAACCTGAGTGACAGAGACCCAGTCTCAAAAGGAGGGGAGGGGACGGGAGAAAGGGGAGGGGAGTGGAGGAAAAAGGAAGGAAGGGAAGGAAGAAAATTAGTTCTTCTGGGGCTTCTAATCTCTTAGAGGCCTAACAACAATCAATCAGTGAGACTGTCTCTGATGATGATGACAGGTGCCAGGGAGAGAAATGAAGCAGCAGAGGTGGGTGGGGAGTGTGAGGCAGGAGGTGTATACATACATGGGCTTTATTTAGAGACAGAGTCTCACTCTGTCAGCCTGGGTAGAGTCATAGCTCACAGCAACCTCAAACTCTTGGGCTCAAGCAATCTCTTGCCTCAGCCTCTTGAGTAGTTGGGACTACAGTGCTCGCCACAATGCCCAGCTATTTTTTCTATTTTTACCAGAGATGGGGGGGTCTCACTCTTGCTCTGGCTGGTCTTGAACTCTTGAGCGGAAGCTATCATCTCACCTCGGCCTCCCAGAGTACTGGGATTACAGGTGTGAGCCACCGTGACGGGCCAATTGGTACAATTTTTAAAAGGGTGGTTAAATGAAGAGCCTAGAGACATGACAACTCTCTGCAGGGTCCTAACCTGGGCATTGGGTAGAAACTAAGGAAACTACACACTCACAGGCACTGCAGCATATTCACAATAGCCCAAAGGTGGAAACAACCTGAGTGTCCACAGACGGGTGAATAGATTAACAGAATGTGATGTACACATGCTATGCCCTGGATGAACCTTAAGGATGTCGCACCAAGGGAAATAAGCAAGTTCCAAAAGGATAAGCACTGTGTGACCCCACTCATCACGTACTGGGTGCACTTTAGAAGGATCGTCAAGCTCCAGCCTGGCCACCATGCAGCCTGCCTCCAGCACGGCCCCAGGACGCTTAATGTACTTCACCCGGCCACTTTCCTGCACGTTCAGGGTCATGATCATCTTCATCACCTGTGTTGCAGAAAGAAGAAATAAGACAGAGCCTTCCAGGACTGGCCTGTGTGTGTGACACCCAGAGTCACCCAGAACTAGTAGCACTAGAGCAGGAACTTCATCATTTAAGCAGAACAACTCCCTGGGCAGTGTTCAAGCAGAAAGGACAGAGAAAACCAACATCTACTAGACGCCCACTGTGCTCCAGGCACAGCGCTGTCCATGAATTATCTCAACCTGCAAAGCCAGCCAGGGAGTAGGCGTTTATCACACCCATTTAACAGATATGGAAACTGATGTTCATTTCCAAGGGAAAGCCTATCATTTAGAAATACAATTGAGATTGTGTTGTAATAAAATTTTATTATGTAGGGTAATAAATGTGCTCCCCAAATCCAGCATTTTGAGGGGCTCCTTTTTTAAAAGGAACCAAGAAAACTCTCAGGGAAAGGAGGGTTTATGCAAAGGAATACCTGTTCACAGGGCACTCACTGGGCCCTTTAATTTGCCCCTTTGAGTGTCTGGATACATGTGTGGCATGAGTTTAGTCGCTGTGGCATCAGCCGCAGACAGATAGGACTGTGCTGCCTCTTGCTTGGCAGGTCACAGCTCAGGCACACAACTCATTCCCTCTGTGATCTCCAGAAAGTGCCTTCCACTCCTTGAGCCTCAGTTTCCCAAATTGGAAAATGGAGACTAATGACAGTTTTGCCTCTTAGGACTCACATGAGCATTAAATGAGGACCTGCCACACTGCAGGAAGTCGATACACACTGGTTACCATCACTGCCATATTGCCATTATTGTTATTATTTTCCTGGCAGGATAGAACAGAGGAAGAGGCCAGGCTTGAATCCTGGCTTGTAGTTGTAGTTCGAGGATTCAAGCCTGGCTTTGTGATACCTCTGCCCTGCCTGGGCCTCGTTTTCTTATTAAAAGGGACTCACAGCCTGCCATGTGGTAAGGGCTTTGCAAGGGTTGGCTGAATACCTTTAAATAAATCCCATCATTGTTAGTAACTCATTCCTGGGGAGGTGTGCATTTTTGAGGTTTTCTCTTTGAATACTACAGGGGATTTAGACTGAACCCCACAGACTGGCTCTCTCAGGAATTTGTAGACCGTGTCCAAGGAGAGAGGTGAGGTCTGTTTGCTTGAACATGGACAATGCCAGGACAGCAGAAGCTTAGGGAAGGCTGGCTACAGACCCCACTCCCAAAGGCTGACTCTGCAGTCACCTCCATCTCTGCGTAGCTGCTCCCAGCCTCGACGTGGCCCCCATCCTCCACTGTGTACTGTGTCAGCTTCCCAGCTGAGGGAGATCTCAGGACTGTGGGATCGTTCTCCTTCTCAAATACACACGTCTTGTTGCCGATGGTAATTCGGTAACTGGGAGAGAAGAGGTGCAGGGAGGGGGCGGTCAGTGAGGACCATCAGTGCAGCAAGCTTGATCAGGGCTTTGACCGTATTTCCCCTTTCCTAATGACGACCACAACTGTCCCCCTGTCTGTGCAGTTTTAGGAACTCTACATCCCCAAATGGTGGCGTCTGACAGTTATCCCAGGTACCAGGAGGGAGCAGGGTAAGTGAAATGGTGTGACCCCTTTTTGGCTGGAAGCTGGTTCCTTTTACAGACATACTTCCAACAGACCCTGGTGCAGGGAAAATAATCAATAAATACGATTTGATAAATATTTACTGATGCCATGTCTTCACCTACAACTGGACGGGGAGAGTGAAGCCTGTAATAATCTGGAATATTCTTGGCAGACAGAATGTGCATTAAAAAAGACAATGAGGCTCAGTGCCCGCAGCTCAGGGGTTAGGGCACTGCCACGTACATCAGGGCTGGCGGCTTCAAACCTGGCCCCGGCCTGCTGAACAACAATGACAACTACAACCAAAAAATAGCCAGGCATTAGGCCAGGCACCTGTAGTCCCAGCTACTTGGGAGGCCACAGCAAGAAAGTCACTTAAGCCCAGAGTGTGAGTTTGCTGTGAGCTATGATGCCTCAGTGGGCGACATAGTGAGACTGTCTCAAAAAGAAAAAAAAAAAAACAGAAACAAAAACAGAGATAGTGAAACACGGCTCTGGTCTGAATCTACTCTGCCTTCTTTTAAACACGAAGTGGAGCTTTCTGAGGCACAGGACCTCTGGCCCCCCCTCCCTTTTTATTTACCTTGGTTGGGGTCTATGCACATTTCATTGTGTGATCTCAGTGTACTCAGAACACAGGAGGTGAAGCATCGTTGGGGCATATCTCACAAGCCTTTGTGCAAAAGGCATGTAGTGCATCCTGTGTGTTCCCCACTGGGGACTCGGTGGCACTTCCTGTCTGTTTAATGTGTCATCTTTCCCAGCAAGCTCGAAGCTCCATAAGTTGTGGCCATGGTGCTACTTCAGTACCTAGCTCAGCACCTGGTACAGAGCAGCTCAAAAAATGACTGCCGTATAACTGGAGGGACCCGTTCACATGGGTGTGCGTGTGGGGCACAGCTCAGGTGCAAGGGGCAGCAGGTACCTGGGCACACATCTCACAGGCCAAGGAGCTAAAAGTCCCGTCCCGTTCAGCTCTGACTCCTCCCAGGTTGCTACAAAAGCGCCTCCTGTGAGCATTCCCTAACTGCCTGCCAGTTACACAGAACTCCAGCCAGGATATTAACCTCTCCATGTGTCCCTGGAATTGACCGAGATTTGCCTAAGACCCTGGGACCTGCCCGCAGGCTGGCGCTGTGTTTGAGTGCACACGCCCAGCCCACGCCAGCACCTGGAGCACACGCACCTGTCCACCTCTTCTTTCATGTAGGTAGTGTAGCTGTTCCCGTTGTAGGACAGCAGCAGCCCACCGTCATTGAGCCGGTGGGCATCAATCTCGATGTGGCAGCCGTTCATGATGAGTACAAACATGGTCAGAGATTGCCGGGCCACCTGCAGGGACAGGACCCACGTCACCACCTGCCCCCAGGGGAGCAGCTGCAGATGGAGCTGGAGAAGACCTGGAGTCAGCAGGCCACACCTGTGGGTGGGCCGACTGATGGCCCCTGGCTGCAGACAGAGCCCCTGTCTAGCCATCTCCCACCAACTGCATGCCTTTGGGGCTGGGGGCTTCCTTTTAGGTCCTGTCTCCAGGCATCATTGTGCTTAGTGGCAGAGAGATGGAGTCTCACTCTGGGTGAGGCAGCTGGGGAGACTGTACTAGTGGCCTGGTGCAATAGACTAAATGTTTATGTTTGTCCTCCAACCCCAGATTATATTGAAATCCTAATTCTGAAGGTAATTAGGTCATGAGCAGGTAGCCCTCCCAAAATACAGGGACACAGTGAAAAGATAGTCATCTACGGGGCAGAAAGCAGGCCCTCATCAGACACCAAATATGCCGGCATCTTGACCTTGAACTTCCCAGTCTCTAGAATTATGAGAAATACATCCTGCTGTGACTTAAACCCAAAATCCTAGCAGTCTGGGAGGCCAAGGTGGGTGGATTGCCTGAGCTCATGAGTTTGAGAACAACCTGAGCCAGAACCATAGCCAGACCCCATCTCTAAAAAAATAGCCAGGCATTGTGGCAGGTGCATATAGTCCCAGCTACGTGGGAGGCTGAAGCAAGAGAATCACTTCAGACCAAGAGTTTGAGGTTGCTGTGAACTGTGATGCCACAGCACTCTACCAAAGGTGACATAGTGAGAGGGAAGGAAAAAGGAAAGGAAAGGAAAAGAAAGGGAAAGAGAAGAAAAGAACAGTCTATTGTTTCTCAGTCACCCAACCCAGTCTGTGATGTTTTGTTATAGCAGCCCAAACGGGCTAAGATGCCTGAACCCAGACAAGGACTCTGCTCCTGAGACCCAGCTCTGTGCAGAGGCACATGAGAGACTTGGGATATGTGACATGTGGCCAGGTCCTGGCCAGAGCTCTACATTTCAATCCAGCTGATGTACCGTGTTTCCCCCAAAATAAGACCTACCCAAAAAAATAAGCCCTAGCAGGATTTCTATGCATTTGTTAAATATAAGCCCTACCCCGACAATAAGACCTAGTGATGGGTGTAGCTGTGCAGCATATCTGCATAGCCATGCCATGCATTTCGGTGTGGAGCAGTGAGGAAGACTGGAATAGCCCTTGAAAATAAGCCCTAGTGTGTCTTATTAAGAAAAAATAAATATATGACAGTGTCTTATTTCCGGGGAAACGCAGTACCAGCCCCATCTGGTTCTTAGTGCATTGTGCGTGTTCTCCTCGGAAAGCAAACACCCTAAAGGGACCTCCACCAGTAAAATATGTATTTTGTGACAAAAGGTAGCAAGAAACATAGAAATATTTATTGCAGCTTTATTAATGATAACAATGAAAGAATCAAATTAGCAAACCAACAGGCTTGCAATGGAACACTCCAGATCTGGGCTGCCCACTATAGTGACACCTGCCTAACCATGTGCAGCCACTTAAACTAAACAAAACATAAAACGCAGCTCCTCAGTCACACTCACCACAATGCAAGTGCTCAGTAGCCATATCTGGGTATCATACTGGATAGAGTGGACAGAGGACATTTCTATCACTGCCAAAAGCTCTGGTAGACAGTGCTTTGGACACTAAACTTATGCTAAAGAAAACTTGGTAATAACATGGGAAACTTTATGTTGGGATAGTATCAAAGCCACAATCGTGTATTTGCACCATGATCTCAACTCCATAAAAGTGATGCACAAGGAAAAAAAACAACAATGAAATCTGCTAAAATGTTCACGGGGACTGCCTCTGGGGCCAGCACAGTGTGGGTTTGTCTATCTGATTTTTTATGCTCATTTGAAATTTTGAGATTTTCTACATTGAACATGTACCACATTTAAAATCAAGTGAGGGGGCTGCTGAATCACCAAAGGTAGCTAGCCCCTAAAAGCAGCAAGGGCAAAGGAAGATAGTTGTTTTTTGTTTTTGTTAGTTTTTTTTGAGACAGTCACCCTGGGTAGAATGCCATGCTGTGGTAGCTCACGACAACGTCACACACTCTTAGGCTCAGGTAATCCTCTTGCCTCAGCCTCCTGAGAGCTGGGACTACAGGTGCCCACCACAACACCCAGCGAGTTTTTCTATTTTTAGTAGAGATGGGGGGTCTCGCTCTTGCTCAGGCTGGTCTGGAACTCCTAAGCTCAAAGCAATCTACCCACCTCGGCCTCCCAGAGTGCTGGGATTATAGGTGTGAGCTACTATGCCTGGTCAAGAAAATAGTTTTAAAGTATACCCCAATTAACAACACACCAACAACAAACTAAGCCTGGAAAATCTCTAAAGTTGAGAGTTCTACTTGTGTCCATCAATATTAAATATAAAATAAAAGAAAGAACTCAGTCTCAGAAGCAGACATGAATTCTGTCCTCTTTTTCCTCCCCAGAATGTGAGGTTGGCAAGTGCTGGGCTCACAGGGGACTCCTTGGTCCTGTACTGCGCTGGAACCCAGGGCACCAGTGCCTCAGCTCACCCACTCTGTGAGGACCCCAATCCTCTGTGAATCTCAGAGGTTCTCTGACACTCTCTGCTGAGTTGGCCTCAGAAGGGTAACTAGATTCTCCTGAGAGAGGAGCACAACCGGAGTAAGCTCCAGGGATGCTGGAAGTAAACCAGAGAAGAGGTTAGAAATCCCCCCAGGATTCTTGGTGTGGAGACACAGAACAAACCAGCTGCACAGCTCCTGGGAATGACCTGGAAATTATGTCAGCTCAGCAAGGCACCTACTCTGTGCTGGGCTGAATAGCAACCCCTAAAAGTTAGGGTCTGCCTGGAACCACCAACTGTGACCTTATTTGGGAACAGGCCTTTGAGATGTAAACAGATAAGATGAAATTGGCCAGGTGTGGTGGTGCACATCTGTAATCCCAGCTGCTCTGGAGGCTGAGCTGAGCTGATTACTTGAGCTCAGGAGCTCAAGCCCAGCCTTGGCAGCATATGAAATTATACTGGAATAGGGCGGGCACTAAATCAGATGTGGCTGGGGTATCTTCCTTCTCAGAAGGAAGAAATGTGAAGACAGACAGACACACAGACACACACAGACACACACAGGGACACCACCATGTGACGACACAGGCAGAGCCTGGAGCTACACTACCACAAGCAAGGAACACCAAGGACTGCCAGCAACCATCAGAAGCTGGGGGCCCTGGAGCAAGTCCCTCTCTAGCACCTTCAGAGAGACCACGGCACAGCTGACACCTTGGTTTTAGACTTCCGGCCCCCCAAACTGTGAGAGACTACCTCTCTGCTGTTTCAGACCACCAATTCATGGTACCTTGTTACAGCAGCCACAGGAAACCAACACCGTGCATGTCATCCAGCCCTCTAGGTAGGGCTCAACCCTACAGTCTGAAACCCAAAGTGTTTAGATTTCAAGGTTATGGACTACTTGGGGATTCCTGAGGAACATGAACACGGATGGCTCAGACCCAAGCATGAGAGAATCCAGAGGGACAGTTCTTGGAAGAAATAAAACAGACTCCCTCAAGGCTCCAGAGCATCAGAGACACCAGAGGAGCACAGGGGTACACACCTTGAGAATGTACTTAATGCCTCCATAAATTAACTCCACATCCACAATGTTCAGCAGTGAATCTGCCGGAAGAACCTGGCCCCTGAAAAGGAAGACAGAGCTGTGGTCAGTCTTGGGATCTGTATCCCTGGATTTAAAAAAAGAAATCACCCCGGCGAGGCACGGTGGCTCATGCCTATAATCCTAGCACTCTGGGAGGCCGAGGTGGGTGGATTGCCTGAACTCAAGAGTTCAAGACCAGCCTGAGCAAGAGCAAGATCCCGTCTCTACTGAAAATAGAAAAAAAATTAGCCAGGTGTTGTGGTGTACACCTGGAGACCCAGCTACTGGGGAGGCTGAGGCAAGAGGATCACTTAAGCCCAAGGGTTTGAGGTTGCTGTGAGCTATGACACCACAGCACTCTACCCAGGGTGACAGAGTGAGACTATCCTAAAAAAATAAATAGTAAATTTTTAAAAAATTACCCAGTTCTCTGCCTTTCCTGAGCATCCACAACAGAGACAGTGCTAAAAAGAGCTAAGTCTGATCAAAAGGCATGCGCGGAGCACAGAGTGCAGAGCACAGCACACGGAGCACGGAGCATGGAACATGGAGCACAGAACATGGAGCGCAGAGCACAGAGCGTGGAGCAGGGAGCACAGAACATGGACCATGGAGTGCAGAGCACAGAGCGCAGAGCGAGAAACACAGAACACAGAGCACAGAACATGGAGCACAGAACATGGAACACAGAGCACAGAACACACAGCACAGAGCATGGGGTGCGGAACACAGAACACAGAGCATGGACCATGGAGTGCGGAGCATGGAGCACAGAACACAGAGCATGGAACATGGAGCACAGAGCACAGAACACAGAGCATGGAACACGGAGCATAGAGCACAGAACACGGAGCATGGAACACGGAGCACAGAGCATGGAACACAGAGCATGGAACATGGAACACAGAACACAGAACACAGAGCATGGTGTGCAGAACACAGAACACAAAGCACAAAGCATGGAACATGGAGTGTGGAGCACGGAGCACAGAACACGGAGCATGGAATATGGAGCACAGAGCACGGAACACGTAGCATGGAACACGGAGCATGGAACATGGAGCGTGGAACATGGAAGACAGAGCACAGAGCGTGGAACATGGAGCACAGAGCATAGAGCACAGAACACGGAGCATGGAACACGAAGCACAGAGCATGGAGCACAGAACACGGAGCATGGAACACGAAGCACAGAGCATGGAGCACAGAAC